GTCCGGCGACGCCTGGGGCCGGAGGGGGCCGCAGCGGCCCTGCTCCATCCCCTGGGGCTGCGGTACCGCGCGGGCCGAAGCTGTGAGAGTACACAGCTCAAAAGAAGGAAGATGGAGCGGTTATTCTCAGAAAGCTGCTGCACGACAAACAAAAATCTCCTGCCGGAGCGCTTCTGGCTTTCTGCTCGGGTATCTCAGCGATAGGCGCCGACCCACCGACACTTACATTGCATTGGCTCTAAATAAAACTCAGTACGGGGGACCCACAGTGTCACTGGCCGGCAGCAAACTAGTACCAGCCACATTGCTCACCTGCCTGTACCATGTATCACTTCTAAGCATGTTTTTAAATTTGGGGTTTTTTCAGTGTCATTGAGTATTAGCAGTGTGTTGGTACCAGATAAGGTACGTTTCCTCTCTCAGAAGATTAATAATGCACTAGTTACTGTGCTTGTCTTCTGTTGCACTTAAGTAATAGAATTTGAAACAAATCTCATTCACTGGATTATAGAAGCTTGGTAGGGACTAGGTCACCTTGAACAGCTTCTAGGTGCCTTTTTCCTCTCTGATACCTATTTCCTACCACACAGTGGTTGTTTCTTGCGCTTACCTTTGTTTCTTGCCTTTCCAGACAAAGCTTCCCCGTCCTGGCCAGTATTAGGAGACGCTGCCCCTTGGCCGTGACCAGACGATGGCACCAAATGGTGGGCGTGGGGCTGGGAGTGTCCCTGTGTGCAGTCCCAGTCGTGGAGGTAACGTATCATGAGCAAGATATGTAGAGCACCTGCTTGTTAGAAACCGTGTAATGTTCCAAACCACTTGCCTAGCATTTTACGAACTAGTACTTGCCCTCAGAATTGTATTCCTTCTTGGGGATCACAGGTGTAGTTGTTAAGGAAGAAAAACGAGGGAGACAATGTCTACCTTCAGTAACACCTTGCAAAACCAGTTGCCTTGTTTTACAAGGGCAAAGCAGCGGTGACAGTTCCAGCCCTGGAACCAAGAGTGGTGCTTTGCCTTGCCGTTATTTGTTACCAAGGACATCCACATGAAAGTCAGTGAAAAACTGGTGCAAGTGTCTTTCTTGTCTTTCAGAAACAGAACTCCGCTTCTCTCAGTAACGAGGCCTTGATCAAAAAAAAAAAGGTTTCCTTGGTGACGGACAGTACTTCTACACTCCTCTCTCAGACAACATACGCGCTGATTGAAGCACTGACAGAGTACACAAAGGTAGGCTGACAGACAACATAACTTGCGAGCAAGTCAGTAATGGGAACGCTAAATTATCCGGTACTAACCACACCTGTTCAACCATACTTAAAATGGACTTTGGTTTTTTTATGAATTTTAATAAAAGAGGTGGAGGAGTTTGAAGATGCCAAGTCCCTAGGAAACAGCAGCGCTCACTGTTGTACCACACAGAACATGGAAGTTATCTTTAGCTTTGTTGGACTGTTGCTTTGAGCTTAAACTTTAGCTGAAATGACCCAGAACTGGGGCTAAAGAAACTCGTAACAAATGCTGTCAGTGCCTGCAGAACTGCAGTGAACTTGAGAACAAAGCACCTGCGGAACTGGTCAGCAGTTTCTCTAATTAAGACCAGTTAACAGTGAGACAACATCAGAGATGTACAGATCACCATGTAACGGTGTGAAACAATTCCTCCGCAGGCAGTTTATACGCTGGTGTCTCTCTACAAGCAATATGCAAATCTTCTTGGGAAAATGAATTCGGAAGAGGTGGATGCAGTCTGGCAGGTGGTGATAGGAGCCAGAGTTGATGTAAGCAATTGTCTCCCTACAGTCTGCACTCTGCCTCTTAAACCTGAGCTCAGAAAGTTCTCCTCTCCCTTGCTCCCCTTTTCACAACGTCACTCCTTGGGAGAGCGTTCAGGTACTGTTACATCTCGTGGAGTGATACTTTCATTTTACTCCTAGATGACAACAAAGAGAATCCAGCTGGATGACGGCGCTGCGCCTTTCAGAGATGGCAGCAGAAGCTGCGTATCAGTCGGGTAAGCACAAGCAGAAATACGCAGGGTTCCTTTCCCCTAGCATTTAGGCAGTATTTGTTGCATGAGAATGGTGTTGAGAGACACAGAATATACATTTAGTTCACGTACCGATGTACGACTAGTGCCTGGTTTATAGAGATGCTGAGAATTTGTATTCTTTTACTGGCTACAGGTGTAGCAGAAGCATTTTGAGAACTAGGCCTCATGTGTGGTCCAGATCAAGATGAACTGTGCCAAAAAGTGTTTGAGGGAAGCATTTAGTCATTTTTAAATATGTTCAAACCCAGTTCTGGGAGGCACAGAAATAAGGCTACCTAGGGGATGCAGCAGGTCTTTCTAGCTGGATTCACTTTTATTAATTAAAGAGTGAGAATATTTTCCTTTCACTCAGGAAGCACATTAATTTTGGTCTTTTCTTCCTGTTCACACACTTTCACAAAAAGTAGAGAGACTTGCTAGCTCTGAGATCGATATCTGGGCTGACCTACAATAAACCACAAAGTTACTGGAGTTGAGAAGGGGAGGAAAATGATGAAAATACAGGGACACCTGACTCTCTAAGAGCCTGAAAAAATCACACAATCTGTGAGAATCAGGAGAAGGGTTTCAGAGTTCAGCAGCGCCACAGACTTTCCTGCTGCTGGTAGGTGCCAGGACGGGACAATACTGAAAGTTCCTGGCACACAGTGACCTGGCTGGCTGTGGTTCTCAAACCCACTAGCACAAGCTGATCACTCTGACCAGGCACTGGCTGTAACCTGCTTGAGTGGGAAGAATTCAAGGGGAAGACATAAATAAATAAATCTCAAAGTAGGCATATTGTTGTTTCAGGTAAAGGAACAGTAAACGCATTTAGCATTAATAGCCCAAGAGCCACCAAAACACTTAGCAAAGCAGATGATAATTGTAAACAGTCCTTTTCTTAATTAAAAGTTTGCCGAGTGCTCTGCTAACCCAACATATTCAAATTATTGCTTTCCAGGTGCAGACCAAGCCTCGGTGACAGCCCGCAGCCACATTCAGCTCGTGAAATCACAGGTGCAAGAAGTGCGACAGCTTTCCCAGAAAGCAGAGACCAAGTTAGCTGAAGCTCAAACAGAAGAGCTCATTAAAGCTCAAGGAGAAGAATCTTCATTGCCACAGGGTATTTTTGGAAGCACGGAGGCTGGTGAGGACCCTTACCTTCGGGAGGACTGAAAAGAACTTAAGTGTCACCGTAGAATATGTGAGAGTCAATCACAGTTTGAAGGGTCACAAACTTTTAAGTATGGGATAGGGGGAAACGGCCGAAGTAAGCCTGTGATTCCATTTTTCCCCCAATAGCTTTGCTTTACAAACCAAGTCAATTCCAAGTATCTGAAAGGCCTTGATCTTGTTTGTAACTTATCACGTTTGTAATACTTATGGATTCAATTATTTAAGTGTTTAACTATGCAAATGTGAACATTGCTATCAAGGATAGCTCGTTGTTAATTGTCTCTCTGCTGGGAGGGTCCTAGCGCTTGTTTGATGTTTGTGAGAGCTCTCTAACTTAGAGATTAACTAGGTATCAGCCAAAGAGGTGTATTTAAAAGTCATTATTTTTAAGCTGTGAAGTAAATGATGTCTGTTAGGAGGTACTTCTATCAAATTGTGCAAAAGTGTCTGCTGTGGGTGTGCCCTTTTGGAGAAGTGCTGGTTTCTACTGGAGATTTGTAACAGAGCTGAGTGTGACAGCTGCATCAAACCACACTTAATGGCAGTCAGGGGAAACATCTGCTGTAGATCTGAAAACTTTTTGTGGAGTTACCCAGGGTAACACCTTAGCAAAGTCTTGCAGTTCAGTACAGCATCCTCTTTCACCCGAGGCACCGCTTAGACTGCATCTGCCTTCCCCAGGAAGCAAAGAAAGATTTGGTTTTCAGGATACTGCGGTTATAAACAAAGTTGTTTTGGTGGCTGCTCCGTACTTCTTTACAAAGCAAAAGTGAGTTTTACGCAATTAAATGCTTCACAGAACAAGTTTCAGGAAAATAATCTTAATTCCTTCTATTTGCAAGCTTAATGTTTCACTGCAGGCTTCAAAACTGCAAGTGTCTGTCACTGTGTTAATTCTCTAACTTGACAGGTTAATGTGAAATTTGCAGATTAACTATAGACAATGTAAACTTAAGCTGCAATTGCTTTGTAGAATAGTATCCACCAGAACTTCATCAGTCAGTTAATCCCCACTCATGAGCTTTTGTAAGAAAACAAGCATTAATCATAAGTTTTTCACTAGAAATATAGTGCATCTGATGCGCTATATCCATGTCGAGGTTGCTGTTACTAAATTGTGTTCCAATGGGAATTTTTTCAGCTGTGGTACAGGCCTTTGTGCCTGTGTCTCATTTCGCCTGCCTTTTGAAGAAGTGCAATCTCAGCGGCACAGCACTGTACGTTTACAGATTAAATACTACGGGAATGAACAAATCACCTTTCCTTGCTGCTGCTCCTCACTTGGTGCTGCTGGTGGCACAGGCTGGAAGTCAAGCTCGCAGGAACATGCCAGTGCCTGCTGTGCCAGTAGTCAGGAGGTTCCAAACACAGCTTTGGGCTGGAAAAAAAAGAAACAACACACTATCACAAGAGGATTATTTGCAGCAGTGACACAACCATGCCCTCAAGAGCGAAAGGCACAGTCAGACCAGCCTCT